TAAACTTAAACCAAACACACACTCCAAACTTAACCTTGGCCCACGTATTAATCCTAAACCTAACTCTAACTGCAACTCTAAACTTAACCTCGAGCTGCATACCAAACCTAAACTTCACACTCACTCCAGCCCGAACCTGAACCTCAACCCAAACACTAAACGTAATACTCACTCCAAACTTAACCTTAAATTTGGCCCAAATATTAATCTTAACACTTACTGAAACCCTAACCCTAATCTCGACCCAAAAACTAAACCTAACACTCACCCCAAACTTAACCTTAACCTTGGGCGAAATATTAATGCCAGACATAACACTCACTGCAACCCTAACCTTAACCTCGACCTAAACACTAAACCTAAACTTAACACTCACTCCAACTCGAAACTTAACCTCAAACCAAATACTAAACCTAAACTTCACACTCACTCCAACCCAAACCTGAACCTCAACCTCAACTCAAATACATTCATTCTCACCCTAACCTTAACCTCGACCCAAATACTAAACACTAAACCTAACACTCACTCCAAACTTAACCTGAACCTCGAGCTAAACACTAAACCTAATACTCACTCCAAACTTAACTTTAACCTTAGCCCAGATATTAATCCTAAACCTAACACGCACTGCAACCCTAACCCTAACCTCAAACCAAACACTAAACTTAAACCTAACACTCACTCCAACCCTAATCTTAATCTCAACCCAAACACTAAATCTAACACTCACTCCAACCCTAACCTCAACCTTGACCCAAACACTAAACCTAACACTCACTCCAAACTTAACCTTAACTTTGGCCCAAATATTAATCCCAAACCTAACACTCACTGCGATCCTAACCTTAACCTCGACCTAAACACTAAACCTAAACTTAACACTCATTCCAACTTGACCCTTAAATTCAAACCAAATACTAAACCTAAACTTCACACTCAATCCAACCCAAACCTGAACCTCAACCTCAACTCAAATACTAAACCTAAACCTAACACTCACTCCAAACTTAACCTGAACCCTCGACCCAAACACTAAACCTAACACTCACTCCAAACTTAACCTTAACCATGGCCCAAATATTAATCCCAAACCTAACGCTCATTGCAACCCTAACCTTAACCTCAACCTGAACACTAAACTTAACACTCACTCCAACTCGAAACTTAACCTCAACCTGAACACTAAACCTAACACTCACTCCAACCCTAACCTTAACCTCAACCTGAACACTAAACCTAACACTCACTCCAACCCTAACCTGAACCTCAACCTGAACACTAAACCTAACACTCACTCCAACCCTAACCTGAACCTCAACTCAAAATCTAAACCTAAAATGATTCTAACTGTAATCTTAATGCCACCCCAAAATCTAAACCTAAAACCTACGCTAACCCTAATCTTAATCTCAACAGAACATCTAAACCTAAGCCTAATACTCACTCTAACCAAAACATAAATTATGCTGTTAATAATGCTTTTGAGTTTAATCAGATAGTTTGCTATCATTTTTAGTTTGTAAATAACCTGTAGGAGACAATCAAAATAACATCTGACCGAAACTCTTTTTTTTCCATTGGACAGATTGTTTGATCACAGCAGTCATGGATTTTGTCCTTGCAAACTCCTCTTCACCAGCCAATGAAACTGCAGCTCATTCGAATAGCCTCAGCTCTGGCCCTGACCCTGAGGACCAGTGCCCTGCACCAGCAGAAGGAATCATGTTTCTGGTTTCCGTGGGGATCCTTACAACTATTGTTGGTTTCCCTGGCAACGTGTGTGTGATTTACCTAATGCTGCGAGGGGAGGTGGAACGGTCAACGTCTGATGTTTTCACCCTCAGCCTGGCTGTACTGGACACTGTGTACTGTCTTACCCTGCCCCTGCACCCACTAAATCTTTTCCTACTGGACAATGTGGTCATCTTTCAACTTTGCCTCTTCCTGCTAGGCCTTAATGAGATTGGCAGTCCACTTTTCCTGTCTTGCATATGCATTGACCGCTATGTTGCTGTAGTGCATCCCATAGTGTTCTTGAAGTTCAGCAACGGGCACCACCGCTCTATAGTGGCTGCACTTGTGTGGTTGGCCACTCTTGGTCAGTCTGCTTTTGTGGCAGCATCTTCATTCAAATACAAGAATTACATCTCTGTGGTGCTGTTCATGGCCGCCTTCCTGGTCATCCTCCTCTGCAATGTTTTTGTGCTGCGAGCGCTCAGGCAGAGCGGCCCAGCCATCGGAGAGCTTCACCCCATTAAAAGACGGGCCTTCCGCACTGTCCTCACCATCTTCGTCATCATCGTCATCAGTTTTCTTCCAGCGGCAGTAATCTATCCATTTGAGCCTGTTTTACCGGACGACATATTTGAATGCTACATCTTCCCCATCTGCTACGCCTTCATCACGCTGAGAGCTGCTCTACAGGCCTTGCTCTTCCTTGGCCGAACCCAGAAGCTTCCCTGCATGACCTCTTATCTGGGCAGCAGCAGCGATAATGATGAAAACTGCCCGTGCTGCTGAGAGAATGATATTTGCTCAATGTTTGCAGGAGAAGAACTGGCTGACAGTTGCTTCTGAAAATGTTTTTATGGAGCCTTGCTGGTGACATCCTGTATAAATAAAAATAATGTGTGGCCTTGACTTAGTAAGGCATGGGAACAAGATAATAAAGTCATGGCTATGATTTAGTAAGGCATGGGAATGACATCCTAATGCGTGGTCATGACTTAGTAAGGTGTGCGAACGAGATCCTAATGTGTGGCCACAACTTAGCAAGGCATGATCTCATTCCTATGCCTTACTGAGTCGTGGCACTGACTTAATTATCTCATTTCCATGCCTTACTAAGTCATGGCACTGACTTAACTATCTAATTCCCACACCTTACTAAGTCATTGCCACGCATTAGGACCTCCATGCGTTAATAAGGTGTGGCCATTAGGTTTCCATGCGTGTGGCCACACATTATTTTTATTTATATGGGATGTCACCAGCAGGGCTCCGCACATTTTCAAAAATCAAGGCTCAATTTAATTCTTGTCGAACGTAGAAAGATGCCTGAGATAGGATAACAATGACCTCATCACTCTGTGCCTTGACTAGAATGTGGAAATTTTCCCACTTTCCTGCAATTTCCCATGTAACTCAATTGGAAAAACTACTTAATGATCAGTGTTTATAAGGCCACTGCAGTCTCAAAGTCAAAAAATCAATTAAGCATTCAGACCTTAGACATTTACAATGACTCAGTGTGAAAATAATGCTTAAAATGATTTTTTACTTTTTTCAATGTTGCTTCTTGAAAGATCTTCCTAAAAGATATTAAAAGATTTCTTTTAAAGTGAAGTTAAGTTTGTTTTATCATGTTTAAAAACTGAAAAAAATAAATAAAGTGAATTTGTAAATGAATAAAAAAAAATATTAAAAAAATGCTGTCCCACATTTTCTCACTACCAAAATCAGTTTTAGTCCAAAGGTGGAGTCTTATTTTAGCCATGGTCCTGCATTTTAAAGCAGGAAGTGAGACTGAGCAGCATCCCATTGTTTTTTAGGTAAATGTGTCCCAAAGTCACTACCGAAACATATTTTCTGCAATTAAGCAAACTTATTTTGTGTTTCAATAAAAAATATTATGATTTTATGTGTGTTCATCTGTTCAAAGCTGTGTTGGTCAGGCACTGGCCAGTGTTGTTGATGCTCTTCATACTGTTCTTCATTATCTTATTATTATTATTTGCTTTTTTTTGTACCACTTTCAGAGTTTTTGAGCTCGAACTACAAAACTTTGCAGGTTTGTTGAGTCTAAATGGGAGAAGTCCACTTCTAGCAACAGCCTACCTACACCTTAGCAACAACCTTGGACAACATATCAATGGCTTAGCAACACCTTAGCAACCACCTTGGATAAAATAGCTGTTTATTTTGGGACTCCTGCCACTTGACTCATGTCATCATGTCTGTTTGGCTATGAGTTTAGAATTTGCCATTGCCAAGCTGACTGTCTGGACCAGATCAACTTACCTTTAAAATCTTGATGTCCAATATAAAATTGAAGTTTGAAGTATTAAAATATCAAAGAATAGGCCCACAATGCTCCTTATCACTCTACTACAGCAGCGAGTCAGACGTGTAGACATGTAGGCATTTACATCTAAAAGTCAATTTTGTGACAAAGTTTGATGAATGAACTTGACAAAAGTTCAAAAAATGACAAAAAGGAATTGGGTAGAAATCATTTATTGTGATTGTTGCTTTACTTGCTTTAGAGTGCAGTTCACATGTCTATCCTAATAACCAGTAATTTGTCAAATCATATATTATGTATGTAATCCTGTTAATGTTTTTACTATTCATGTTCATGTGAAATCCAGGAAGAGTAGTTGATTCCTATTGCGCAAAAATTAAGGCGATAAAAAAACCCCAACAAAAACCAATAATGAATAACCCCTCCCCCAAAATAATCAATAAAAATTTACTCACTACTTTAGACTAAGATTCTGAATGATAGTACAGTAAGCTGGTGGGAAAACAACAACATAATTATTTGAAAGTTTTAGGAGGAATGCAGGAATGAATGAAAAAGACTAGACAGGGAACCTGCATGGTATGAAGGCAAAGAAAAAAAAAAAAAATTGTTCCTCATAGGATACTTGCACTAACATCAACTAAAACAGAAAGAAATGAAATCCTGACTATAACAGGCTAGGCTACACTCTCAAGAAAAATACAAAGGCGAGCATGGGGGCTCGTCCGGGATCACAGAGGGGACCATGCTAGATATCAAAGAAACTTCTCCATTTATTAAAGTCAGCAGTGGTAATGTTGGCTTGCCTTTGCATCAAAAGACAGAAATCTTCGCGATGTAACTTCTTATCTGGAAGGCTGATGAGGAGCTGTGGTCATTCCAGGGTCAGACCTTTTTAATAAATGGTCTGTTTTTGATCTTCAAATACCAGCCAGCCATTCAGGCCCAACATATTTTGTCAGGTCTTGTTCAATCATCTGTTCAGAGTCCACAGCAGTGTGAGAGAGAGTGCAAACACGGCCAGAGTGGAGATGTAGAGTTTGAAGCAGAACCGGTCCAGAGCCTCCATCAGGTGAAGTCTGGAGCTGCGCTGAGCGTTCACCCGGTTCAGCTTCCTCAACTCCTCACTAACATCTTCTAACTCCTCCTTTAACCTGTCAATCACACAGCCCCGCCCACACAGCCCTGGCCCCTCCCTGCCATGCCTCAGAGCAAATGACCTCTTCAGACCTACAGAAGATGGAATGTAAAGTAGGTGTTATGAACAACAACTGTACAGGACATATGGTTTCAGGAGCAGCGCGGTGTAAATACACAGATATACAGTCAAACGTAACAAGAATCTCGTAAAAAGTTAATATCTTTTGAGATAGTTTGAAGAATTTTATGCTTCCCGGTTCACACTTCATTACGAACTCCAATTCCCAAGATCCCTCAGTTTGTCATGTGGCTCCACCAACCAATCACTTGCCAACCAGCAGATCCCAGTCAACCAAGTACTGATTGCCGTCACCTGTTTGCCTGTTTATAAACGTCTGTTTTACTACATCTTTGTGAAGTTAGCTAAAGCTATAGGCAATGATACTAAGAAAATGGGTTAGCTGAACATTTCACATCAGACAGATTGTATTAGAATGACCAATGTTACTCATTCATGCTAACCTAAGACTGATTTTGTAATCATAGTTTAGCTTTACTTTCATGGCTGTCTAAAATTAGCTCTATTGTTCCTTCATCAGTTGTGCTTTACTCTAATGAAGGTTTCCACCGGCATTTAGCTTATAAAATATGGTACCTTTACCCAGTTAGCATGTAGTACCTCTGTTAACATGCCGCCGGTATGCACGGAGGTGCTCACTGGGCCCATCTGTCTTCAGGAGCTGAGGAGACACTCTCTGTATGATCTTCTCCAGTGGAGTGGAGTGTGTATGTGAATCTGGCTGTCCGAGCGTCAGAAGCAACACACTTTCCCCCATACTTACACACAGCAGTATGAGGCACACCACCAGGTAAACACCTGAGAAACAGTTTAGAGTCTTGGTTCAGCCAAAAATCAAATCAAACCCCCAGATTCTGACAGAAAAAAAAGATTTTTGTAAAGTTTTGCACTGGAGTTACGAGGCTAATGCAGCTAACACGTATTAGAAGGTTATAATTAAATGATAATGGGCAAAGGTATGTCCATAATTCAGGCTTCAAGATGGCTACAGTTTTTAGCTATGCTAATGTACTTCTGTACAGATAACAATATATCATATAGGGTGAGAAACCACATGAGCAAAAAAAGCTCATTTTCAGCATTAGCCTCATAGCTCCAGCATAATGCTAAAGAAGCAAACTTCAGTCGCCAACAAAGTCTTGGCTGGACAACTACATTTGGGTGCATTCTGGGTGAAACTGTGAATTGGATTTTTGGCCAAATGTACGCCTTGAGATGGATAAAACATATATACAGATAGCTAAAAGAACAAACAACAGTCATCAAATTGTGTATGTTTGCCTACTCACACAATGAACCACATACATTACCCAGCACAGGTGTGGTGTCTCTGAATGGTGGCAGTATGTCAGTGATGAGGACTAGAAAGACGGTGTAGCCGAAAAGCAGAGTGACCTTGAATGGGATTCGCTCAGCACAGTTCACCGGCACTGCAAAGGCTGCAACATCAATGAGCATCACCATCAAACTGGGCACCATCAGATTCAGCACATAGAACAGACTGTACCGGCCCAACTCCACCTGTTGAGTAAGGAGAAGGATTATATCTTATTAATTAATTGATTATAATCTTATTATTACATAAAATTACACATTTTGTTATGACTCCAAACATTTGAACACTGGTGCATGTAGTGGGTACCTGAAAGCTGAGCTGTGAGTACTGTTTCAGACTGTAAGTGTACACTTTAACCTCCATTAAGTCCCATTCACCATGGCCTTTTCTGTCAAACTCAGAGCGCCCCCTGGTGTCCACATACAATATCACATCCTGCTCTGCAATAAACAAAAAAGATATCAGGCTTGACATCACATTATAGCCAGCAGTATGGCCTATACTGCTGACAGCAGTGCAGTGATTATCCTGCCTCATGCAGGACTGTGTACAGGTGCCTTGGTGGGCATGAAATATGTTTATGGACCACTTACAGTCATATGCAAAGTTTGGGTCAAAGTGATTTTCAAATTGAAAATAGGTCAACACATCCTTTGCAAAGAGCAAGCTTGAGTATGGCATTTTAGTGCACTGTTTCTATTTATTTGAGCAGTTTAACATATTGAAAAAAAAATATATATATATATATGCCATAACTTTTGTACACTCCACATTCGTTTTATTTTTATTTTTTTCAATATTTTAAATTCAGCATATAAACAGTAGGAGTACTAGTAGTAGCAGAGGCATGTTAACTTATTCATACTTCAATCAGGGGTGTCATTTGACCAGGGGTGCCCAAACTTCTGCATATAATGGCATGTCCACTTTTTAAAGAAATATGTATTTACCAACATTTCATGTTTGTTTTAAACAATTTATAGTTTTCTCACACATCTTCGTCTTGATGAGTCTTGATGTCCCTCCTTGACCCTTAAAATGAGGTGCAATGCAACTAATTCTGAATTTGAAATTCATCGCTAATCCAGAGTCCATGTGAACATGTGTTTACCTGTGTGCAGCTGAGGGTAAAGGGTAATGTTGCACTTTTGCTGGTCAAATGGAAACAGGAGCATGGCCAGATCACAGTGCAGAGTCAGCACTATATCCTCCACCCTGTTCACCCAGCCTGTCCATTCCACACATACGTAGCCCTCTGAGTACTGCCGATGAATGGCAATACTGTGCAATAACACATAAAAATGCATATTTTGTAACAACTAGAATTAGAAACGAAAGAAATCTAGATTGAGAAGGAGCCCATTATTAAGCCCTGTGGAACCCCACAAATCCTGCAACAATATTACCCATTTTAACTATAATCGCCCTTAACTTTCTAAAAGGAATTTGCAACTTTAAAAAAAATATATATATATGGGTTGGATTGACAAAAATACATAACTTATTTTCCAGTTTGTACAGTATGCATCAATCTGAATGTGGTGATTGTTATAACTGATTAATTTTTTGGAAAATATAAAATTTTGTTTAACTGTTCAAAACAATTTAAAAAAGGGGTATGTTTTTCAGTCACCTTTGTGTCACCTTTTGAGATTTCATAATTCATTTAATCACTTCCTGAAAATGTATGAAGATACTTGGTTTGAATGAACTTACTGTGAGGTCAGGGATTACCCATCCGATATGGCAGAAACATAGACTTACGCCTCTTTAATGGTGATATCGGGGGTCCAGAGTCTTGAGGTTGGCACAGTAAAGTTTGGCAGACCTCCATACCATGAGGGGTCCCATGACACAAACTCATCCCTCCATCTCTGCATAAATAGAGAGGGAAGGTTAAGATGTAGAGAAAAGTTTTTTTAAGCCAAATGTATCAAAGGATATCAGAGCAAAGCATAAATAAAAATTAAATAAAATTTAAAGTTTTTAGTATTTATACTGCAGGAACCTACCTGGCTTAGACGAATGTGAAGTTTGACCGTTTCTTCCTTTTCATTCTGAAATAATGTAAACCAGTGATTTGCACACTTCATAACTTCTGCAAAGTAATCTCTCATGTTGTTCTTGTTCATGGTCCAAATCCCCGCAGTGTGGGGATTTGGGATGTTGCCGAGGTTAGTGTTAGAGTTGGCGTTTACACAGACTCATACAGAAGCACTTAGAAACAGCTACACACTAGTGTGTGAGTGAACTCACCACATCGAGAATTTTGAGGACGTGCAGATCCAGATAAAGGCTGAGTGGAGAACTCCAGTCTTTTACAGGTCTAACCCAGGCTGAGGAGAGGCGTGTTATATTGCTGACCGTAGAGATCATATCTGAATTTGCACAGCACACTGACACACACACACACACACACACACACACACACACACACACATGCATACCCTTAGAATACTGCAGACATACACATTAACACACACTTTGTAACAAACCTCTAGTATGACATAGCAAGAAAATGAAATGCAATTTAAAAGGGGGCCTATTACGGAGCCATGTGGAACACCACAAATATTACAATATTGCAGAGCAATATTATCCCACAGTTTCATTGGACCTAGTAGATTCAAAGTTCTTGAATAATAATAATAAGTCTAACAACAGCTTAAACGCTCATACTAATGTTGCTGGCAATGAATGGAGACCAACAGCTGCCTGATATCATTTTCAAAAGGCTAGTTATCGGCTATTCGCTTTCATTATTAGCAGCTTTAGCATTACTGACCGAAGCATACCTTTCAGATCGGCAGCTGGAAAATGAAAAGGTTAACTTCAAACATAAATGAAGCGGAATTGGTTCAGACATTTTTACCTGTTGAGGACAGAAAAACTGCTAGCAGGGTGATCCATCCAGCCATTTCTCCATTCTTTCATCATCACTTGCTCTGTTCGCTTTCTCTTTTACACATTTTTGACTGTTTCTGTTCACCTCTTACTCTGAGTCCGTCTGTTCTCAACTCCTGTGAGGAGTTATATGACTCGTTTAGATATTCAAATTCAGTTCCCCGTGTGTAAAGTGTGTGTGAATGTGTGTAATTTGATTATCAGTATCAGCCATTTCTCCACAAGCAGGAGGCCGGGGCTAACGGCTTGATGGCTTGGATGTCTGAAGAGCTTCCATTAGACGTGTTAAGGTGAAGCAGTCGGGTGAGTAACCATCCGGTTCTAATAATGTCTCTCAGTGGAATTGAAAACTATGAGATTTATAGTTACAGTTACAGTTACTCAGGCTGTTCATATATATATGTTTTGACAGAGACTGGAATGGCAGCTTTTCGGAAAGGTGACATTGGATTTACGCTGCTGATGTTAGAGTCTACACTTCTGTTACTGACGCCACATCTGGTCCACGGTAAGTTATTCATCTTTCAGACAAAAAGCAGAAAAATTAAACGGAAAACTGAACATCTGAATATAATAGCACATTTTCATTATTTGGTGTTTCCACTCTTTATTTATTATTCTTTACCTTTATTACAGCTTCCATTCTTTTCAGGAGTCTCACCTTCAGTTTTTCAACAAAATGTGCAAGGGTATTTTTCCACCCCTCCAAAGTTCAGTCTTAGTAGTTGATTGCATTTTCTGCTTCACAATCCAACTAATCCCAAACACGTTCCATGATGTTAAGGCCTATTTTCCTTTGGCTTTGTCTTTATGCAAGTGGATTATGTTGTATATAATATCCTCAGAAATATCCTGAAAAATGAAAAACACATACTTAATTACTTACTAGCTCTTTTGATTGGAACTCGAATGAATGTAGACTTTTGCAGAGTGCTGTATTTAAATACATGTTATTGTTGAATGGTTGAACAGGTGCTGCATCTGACCCGCCTCACTTCTCTCTCATCCAATGGCTGGACGGTGTGACGGGGGCAGAGTCTGCCAAGCTCAGACCGGTTTCTGATTGGAGGAGCTCTGTGCCCGTCAGAGTAGACCTCAGCATCCTGAGTGTCCTAGGAGTGGTGAGAGAGAGAGAGAGAGAGAGAGAGAGGAAGTTCTCTTTCTCTGTTAATCCATCTCATAGTCCATCTTCAATCTGTGTATCAGTCGTCATGCTGTTTTTGTTTTCTGACAGGATGAGAAGAATGAGCGTCTGCTGCTGTATGTTCTGTACACACAGGTACAGCGTGAGCGAGCTTAACACTCACGTCTGTATCTCTCTCCCTCTCTGTCTCTCGCTCTCTCTGTCTCTCTCTCTCGCTCTCTCTGCTGAAAGATATCATGTAAACCTTTATTTAACCGGATTAATTTCTCAGGTCACTCTCACAGGCAGCTTCCTCTGCCTGACATCCTGTTTTTAATACTTGTATGTGTTTCTCTATGGATGGGAGCTCGATTCTATTCTATTCTATTCTATTCTATTCTATTCTATTCCATTCTGCTCTTTTTCTACTCTTTTATCTGCTGTTTTATATCATACTTTGTCCTATTCTATTCTATTCTATTCTATTTTATTCTATTCTATTCTCCATTCAATGTCCTCTGTTCAATTCTGTCCTTTGTTTTGTTCTACTCTGTCATTTTGTTTTTTCTATTGCTTTATTTTGTGCTGTTGTTTATTCTATTTTTTCTACTTTGTCATGTTGTATTCTTTTCTTTTGATAATATTCTATTCTATTCATTTAATTTCTATTCTCTTCTATTATTTTCTATTTTTCAGTTTACACAATAATAATAATAATAATAATAATAATAATAATAATAATAATAATAATCACCATCATCAGTAAAGGGTATTTTTCTTGTCATCTTTTGATATGTGTGTACAAACAATAGCAGGTATGTGCACCCACAGATACCTGTGTAATCACACCAAGAAAAAATGAACAGGAAAATGAACAAAACCATAACAGACACATAAACAAAACTAGAGTAAATAATCTAGGACCATAATCATTTGGAATCCCTCTCTTTTTCTCCCTCTGTGTAGGGATGGAAAGATGAGCGATTGCGATGGGATCCCTCTGAGTATGGGGGTGTGCTGAGGGTCACCGTTCCTGCACACAAAATCTGGCTTCCTGATATTATCTTATATGAGATGTGAGCATCTTCAAGCCCTCTCTCCTCTCTGTCTTAACGCCACACAGACGTTAATGTACACAAATCAACATGAACCTTCTGTGATGTTGCACTTTCAGCAGTAGAGGGCACTATTGCACAGCATCCTATTTATTCTCTCTCTCTCTCTCTCTCTCTCCAGGGCTAATACTGAAGAAGACTCACACTACAGTCGTGTTTCAGTGACTAATGAAGGGTGGGTGGAGTTACAGCAGCCCCGCCTCCTGGAATCCAGCTGCCCACTAAACCTCTATCACTTTCCACTGGACCAACATACCTGTAACCTCACTTTCCTTTCCCAGTCACACACAGGTACACACACACACACACACACATACACACACACACACACACACACACACACACACAACTTAAATGATTGTACATTTAAAATGACAAGTGTCTCCAGTGGTTCTAGAATTTAACAGAATTAGAATATATTCTATTAGAATGTATTGCATGACTAGGTTTATCACATCTCTCTCTTTCTTAATCTCTCTCTCTCTCTCTCTCTCTCTCTCAGTGATGGAGGTGGAGGTGTACTGGGGAAGGAGAGAGAAAGACAGTGTGTTCTCTAGAGGAGAGTGGGAGATCCTCTCTCTCTCCGTTCCCCCTAATCTTCAGCCCGTCCCACACTTTAACACCTCTGCCATCAGAGTACAGGTCAGTCTGTGTGCTGTCTTCAGGCTAATTTAGGGCTGATTATGCCATATGGAGACATTACCACCAGTACTACTGGAGTCCTGGACCTGAAATGGAGTCTGACTTGAGGTTTAGTTTTCATGGCTTGTCTTGGTTCATTCACTTGATTACTTTTATCTATGACTTCAGAATGGAATTGGATTTGAACTTATAATCAGTGTTCAGCTGTAGCATCGCTACGAGCTCTAAAGCTGTTAATGTAACTATTCAAATTCATATGACATAATACGACAGCCGGCCTTCATTTTGAGGTTCAACACTGGCAAGATTGTTTTGTCACCAGCCAAGTCATTGTGTGTAGACGAAGTTTATGTTGTTATTATCATAATTATTATATATACTTACATATATCTTTGTATATTATAATTACTATATTATTAATAAAATCTCAACCTGTGGTTTTTAAATAGTTGAAATGATGAGCAGAAAGACAGCGACCTAATACTTCTACTTCTCTAATCAAGTATTAGTTCATATTACTGTATTTGAATATTCCATATATTGCTATGAATAGATTTGAGAGCTGTTTCTAAATTCCAAATGGCAATTGAGGCCCAACTTGGTCTTGAAATTAAGCTACCTTAACATGACTCTGACTTGAAGGTGAGAGAAAATGGACTTGACTTAGAATTAAATGACTTATGAAATGAAGTTGACTTCACTTAGGATGGGAGGGGGGGTCAGGTAAACTTAGAATTTACTTGGAATTGGACATATAACTTAGACTTAACTTGGACTTGAGGGTAAGATAACTTAGGCTTAACTTGGACTTAACAGTAAGATAACTTGGACTTAACTCGGACTTGAGAGTAAAATAACTTAGACTTGGTATTGAGGGTAAGATAACGTAGACTTAACTTGGATTTGAGGGTAAGAAAACTTAGGCTTAACTTGGACTTGAGGGTAAGATTACTTAGACTAAACTTGGAATTGACAGAAAGATAACAGACTTAACTTGGAACTGAGGGCAAGATAACTAAGGCATAACTTGGACTTTAGAGTAAGATAATGTAGACTTAACTTGGACTTGTGAGTAAAATAACTTAGATATGGACTTGAGGGTAGGATAAATTAGACTTAACTTGAATTCAAAGGTAAGATGACTTAGAATTAACTTGGGCTTGACAGTAGGATAACTTAGACTTAACTTGGACTTACGAGTCAAATAACTTAGACTTGGACTTGAGGGTAGGATAAATTAGACTTAAGTTGAAATTAAGGGTAAGCTAACTTAGACTTAACTTGGAATTGAGGGTTAGACTTGATTTAGAATTGAGAGCAAGATAACTTAGACTTAAATGTAACTGATGTCTAGATAACTTTCACTTGACTTGAATTACAATTGATACAGATGATATTGTGTGTGTTGTGTCTGTAGGTTACAGTACAAAGGTCTCCACTGCTCTATATGGTCACTCTGTTATTGCCAAGTGCTCTGATGCTGGTTCTGGACCTGCTGGCCTTCCTCATCCCCGTCTACCTCAAACAGCGGCTCAGCGTCATGGCAGCCGTCTACACTGGGCACTTCATCTTCATCATCACAGTCTTCAGCCTCTTCCCTCCTTTCACCCTGCAGCTACCGCTTATCGGTGAGCAGAAAGGAGATCGTCTCATTTTTTTTAAGGCTTGTCTGACCACTGATAGATGTTTAGAATCGGTCACTGGTGTGTCTCTTGGCTCTTTCCTCAGTCTGATCCAGTGATTCTGTTTAATCTTCCTTGCTTTCTTTTCAGAAATCTACCTCTTTGGCTCTCTGGCACTGCTGGCCTTGGGTGCTGTAGAAACAGCTGTCTTGTTCCAGCTGGCCAATGAGAGAAACTCATGGGTGGCAAAGCGCATTTTCCCCACCCTGTGGCAGCTGATGGGGCGGAGACAGTGGGAGGAGCCTCAAATGCACAGTTAGCTTCAATTACAATTTGAATACTAATGTAAAATGCTTTTCATTTTCTTTTCTTAAGTGTTAAAGCAATAATTTGGCAAAAAAAAACATATATATTTTCTCATTTTACCAAATGTAGACATATCTCATCATTTTAGCTCAATTTTTAATTATTTTACCCTCTTGCCTCCACCTTCCTCCTGTTCTTTCATGTTGTCTCCTCTAGGGGGCAGTGGTGTGTGTATCTGCATGAAGCTGGAGGAGTGTGTGTGTGCTCTACAGGTGGAGCTCTGTCATG